GAAAAACTACTAAAGAGGTATGGAAAGGCATTTATTGCATAAAATATTGTCTTTTAATTAGTTCCTGAAAATTTCGTTTTTAAAAACCAATTTTTGTTGAAGTTGTTTAGGAAAAAGTAACTACATGCATTTTAGCGACATAATGTTTAAAGGGTCTGCCAGGACAGGGGTGGGATTTAAATACCCTTCGCGCCAGTCAAAGAGTTAATGTATCCCCACAGGAAGAAATCGAACTACATCAAATCGGGTGAGTGTACTGGCCACAGAACTGGTCCATCACACCAAACCCAGCACCCAGGAAAATGCATATCAAATTCTCGGACAATACGAGCAGTGTTATTTTGTTGCTTCTGGTTTGAAAATTATAGGCCCTGGAAACGCCGGCAGTAATTTAGAACCTTATTGTATAATGTACCAATTTGCCTTATTCTTCTGTTGAGAATACAGTCCATACTGCACATTTACTGCTATAGAAGAATTGTTCATTACCACTTCTCTTGTGATCATCAAGATGTCTCTGAAGGGTTTTGTGTGCAGTGTTTAAAGTGCTGCAGCTCAACAGCCAATCTTTTATGAACAGCTTCAACAACTAAAGCAAGGTTTTGTATGGATATTGGTGGCCTCTTGCATACACATATATTTCTAGGCATCTGAAAAGATAGATGTTGTGTTCAGTATTATATTCCTTTCACCTTTCTGTAATGTTTTGCTAATGAAACATATATAAGAAGCTTGTGAATAGCTCTGGCCATTTGTTCATTAATTGCAAACATCAGAAATAAAAGGTTTCATTTACTATAACTGCAGAACACCTCTCCTAACTGAATCATACAATTTCTTGAAATCTGTAGACACATAGCAGAGGTACTGTTCCATTGTATTCTTAGTTGTCTTCCAGCAATGGTCAAATGCAGAAAATCTGATTAGTGATTGCTGTATTATATAGAAATTCACGCTGACGATCTGGACAAATTACATACATCTAGAGCTAATCTTGTGAGAAAAATCCTAGCTAGCATTTTATGCAGTTTATGACAGTGGTGTGCCTCAATAATTACTACAGTCAGCTTTTACTGTTTTTATGCATACAATAGATTCCTTTTGCTGCTGTGGAAATTCATTCTTATTCCAAAAATTTTGTGGCTCCGAAAGCAAGTTGTTGCTAGGAAAGTGCTTGTCAACATGTCAGAAAATGGAGGTACTGTTGGAAACTGTTTGCTGTGCCATCAAGGCAACTTGGCCAGTTGTCAGTTGTAATTGGGAGTCAGTGCTAGCCAGCTTGTGGGTAGACATTCATGGCTAGGAGTTGTCATCATGGGTTAGTTGTGAGATGGTAGCCTATGAGCAGTGACATAAGCATGAAAGCAGAAGGGTCTTCATTGTTGGGAGCCATAACCTAGCATTGCCTGGTGAAGACATGGAAGCCTTAATCTTTGGAGTAGCATTTTGTAGAGTACGTAGGTCTGTGAAGTTGTTATAGTTACCTGTAGTTACAAGTTATAAGTGTTTAATAAATCCAGTCACCAATACAAACACCATGTCTAGTCATTAACATGTGGCTGTATGTTTCAGATTAGATTCATCTTGCAAACTCCATTAAAATTAAAACATTAAGTGAATTGTTAAGATACACAGAAATATATAAAATCAGTTATTGAATAATAAAAGTGTATCTCCACATGTAGGTGTTAGTAAGGCATAACAAATCTTGAATGGTCTTTATGTTAAACTGCCTTCAAATTCGCAAGAAAGGGATTTCTGGCTATCGTAGGAATATGTTGTAAAACTGGATTCATCTTATAGGCCCCTTCTGCAAACCACATTCTCCAATGCAGCATGCTATTATTAATGTTAAATGATATAAACTCCGTCCCAGGTGCAAACAATATTGTGACATGTTGACCCCTACCTCCCCAGCGGTACGTGGCGGTAACGTAACGCTCGCGTTCTTACGGTAATAGGCGAGTTCCCGCCACTCCCC